GAAGGTACACTAACAGTAGTCGACTGGATCATTCACATGGAGAGAACAGTGCTTTCACCTCACACTAACCTCTTCCCTTATTCTGGCAGTGGAAACAGCTTTCAGAGTGAGTGTGTGTTCATGCCCCCTTTAGGCACCCTTGTAGAGTTACAGTGGTGGAAAGAAACTGACTAGTAATTATTTTTAATTTTTTTAATTATTTTATTTTATTTATGTGTGCTTGGAATGTCTTGAGATCTTCCCTTGGTAGCATCAGTTTCAGAGAGGAGACTATAAAAATCAGAGGGGTTTGTGGGCTGTGTGCCACTGCCTGGCAACATTACAAGATCTTCTGCCAGCTCTTCTATCCAAAAGGGACCAAAGCTATAAAGCGGTTCCCTGCATGCTTTCCTCAATGACTCTTCCAGCATCCTCTGGCAGTATTAGAGTTTGTCTGGATTTATATTGCCAGAAGAAACAAAATAGCAGTTTTGTTTAGGGAGCAAGAACCCTCCCAGCCTCTTTCCTGAGGCAGTGACTTAGCACGTAGCCTTCACTGGCGAAAATCAATTTGACTTCAAAGCGGCTGTTTGGATTCGACACCAGGCCCACAGGAGGATATTTAGAGGCCTAATTGGAGTAGCTGGTGCACCATCAATTCACACGAAACAAGCACTACAGTGACATAAAATGTTTTGAACATACACTCCTACTTAACCTTCGTAATGGCATTTTAGATATCTGAAAGTATTTGCAGATTTCTTTTGGCTGGACAAGAAGTGTGAAAGACGGAAAGTAAGGAACATCAGATTACTTTTGGTTTTCCTTGAAATAACAATTCAAATGAAAACCAGCATTTTGAAATGTTTGAAACTACATTTACATAAATTGAGTCATCTAGACAGAAACAAAATAGATTATTCCTACTGAATGAAATAATTAATTTTACCTGAATGGTTTGTTTTCCCCTAATTCTCATTTTACAGTTATGGTTATGAAAGGGGAAAAAAAAATTAATTTTCGGCTGACCCAAAATAAGTCACTCAGCCTATCCAAGGTTAAAGAGGTCGGTCATGTGTTGTACCCTCCACATGATCTAGTGACTCAGGCATTTTGAAAAATGTGAGCAGCTATAGAAGACGAACAGGATGACAGGAACAACTTACTTCCAAGTAAGTCAAGTTCTTCAGAAGGCTCAAGCCTTGCATAAGGTCACTGAGATACACACAGGACAATTTTTCTGCAGCCCAGAAAGCAAACAAACCAACCTGACTTCAGAGAAATAACAATGAGCCAGGCAAGCAGAAAGAGCAGCAAGAGCAGTCCCAGCAGTGACTTTAATCACGTTTTCCTACTGCATTTTTCATTGCTGAAGGGTCTTCACTGGCTTTAACTGCGACACTCAGCCACCGATCACAAATGAATGGTTTCTGTGGTCACCATTCCCCAACAATCAATGCCACCAGCATTGCTGTACTCATGCTTACCCAAGGTGACAACCAATTCAGAATAGGTCTACCCACTTGCCTGGATCTGCCTGGTCTTATTTCAGTTGAATATTTAACACAGGAGAAGAGCAGAATGGACGTTCCTACTGCAGAAACCACCATGAGAAACAAAAAAGACAGGAAGAAAGTAGAAAAGTAGAAGGCAACTAGTTCTTTGCTTACAAAAAAAAAGTGAAGGATCCATTAGGAAGTTTATTCAGATGGCAGCCTTGGAAGAAGAAGGTCTGCAGTGTTACTAAAAAGCAGGGTGCAACTTATGCACAGCAGTCTCCAATTCCTTTATTAAACTAAACCAACTTTGCTTTTTTCCACATGCATATTTATGCAAGTAAAGTGGAAAATTTAATGACACAGCTTACCAAATGTCATATGTATACACTTTGGTGGGGTTTATATCCTTTTTCAGATCATTTTCTGAAAATATTCCTGCCTCTTACAGAGTGGCACTTAAGGATTTAAATGTTTTCCTTTTAAAAAAGCCTGTGTTTAAGCACTTTGGTGTATCAGGGGTATTGTAAAGAACAGGAATATTTGAGCAAAGAATAAAAATAAACACAAATTGCAAAAAAAAGACAAAATTAATAACTTGTTGTTAAAAATAATCTTGCTGAAAAGACAGCTTCAAGAGCTAGAGCCATCCAAGACAAAATTATTACATCACCTGGGCAGTCGGCCCACTCTGTACAGTTCAGGTGTCTAACTGTGACCACTTGCTGTTACTTGCCCCAAACAAGCTCCAGCCCAGGAATTAATTATAGCAGTAATCCTAAGAGTGGCAGTGCATGGTCATCAACAAAGCATACTGGAATCGGGTCATAGATTAACCATATATGAAAGAACAAATACAGAGACACTGAATTATTTCCCTTTGCCGATTTCTCCCTTTATCAGTTGATTTTGTGTGCAATTTTCAGAGCTGTTTCAACAATAAGTTTGATTACATTTTCTGAAACACTTGCTTTTTCAGTCTAGTGTCACCTGTGCCCTAAAGCCAAAAGAAGATCCACTCCTATAATGAAGCTTCAAACAAATGACAATTTTGGGCTGCCTGTTCAGACTCAGAAGAATAGGTATTTCTTATAAAACTAACTCCCACCTGACAATAAGTAATTACCTAACTGCACAGCAGGTAAGTTACGTGCTTACCAGGTTTTTCCAAACCTGACAAAAAGGATGCAAATACAGACAATGCTTCTGGAGATATACAGATCTCAAGTAAGCTTGTTCTCACAACCTGAAAGCTGATTCCTGTAGCTCTGGGAGTAAAAAACAAACAAACAAACCCCAAAACCAAAACTTTTTCTCTGCCCTGTGAGAAATTCACCATATTCAAGGACAGCTCTTCCAGCCAATAATGCCTTACTGCTAACAGAGACTTTGGATAAGACGAACCTGGGTAGATCAGAGAAGAACCAAGAAACAAAAATGTAATTATAGGTCTAGAGGGAGAAGGAAGAATAAAAGGGTAAACAGGAAATTGTTATTAACTGTTACACGTAGTAGCAGCTCACCTTTACATGTAGCAGTTGGCATAGTCAGTTTTGGCCTACAGACCACTATTGTCATTTGTAGTTTTCCACCTATGAACCAATTTTGTAACCACATATCAATTTAGAGAGAGCAATATGAGGGAAACACTAGCTTTGCAGGTCATTTGGAAGATGGTAACAGCAGAAGGTATGACAAGGTGCTAAAATGATGGCCATAAGGATGTAAGAGACCAACACAGCGCACAAGACCTTGTTAAGAGCTCTCTGAAGACTGTACACCTCTGGTGATCTTCCCCTCCACAAAGAATTTAAATCAGGAAACATGCACTTAAGACCTGTTGGAGGGCAGTGATCACCTCTTTCTGACAGCACGATGAAAAGTGTTCCCTTCTACACAGATCATGTGAATACCAGATGAAAAGGAGCATGTTTCTTCATAAATAGCTCTAAAGATGAATTTCACAGAAAGGAGAAAGGTTAACATTTAAAGGAGAAGAGCTTTTTAAGTTAAAGAATAAGGCTAGCACTAGGTCAGGGTAAACGGCTCATGAAGAAGTTACCAAAAGATTTCTACCCACTGCAGCCAGGAGTGAAGGTCTCAAACTGTTCTTCCACGTGGACAGCAAACAGCATGAAACAGCACTACCCTCCAACAGGTTTGAATCAGCCAGGGCAAGACAATGGAACTCCCCCGGACAGAAAATACATGCGAGGCCCCGTGTCAGTAGCCAGACTGCAGGTAAGCCTTGAGGTTATTTCCCCTCTGATGGGCAGCATGGTGGTGGGAGAGGGCCTCCTCTAAGATCCTGGAAATCGACCACAGAGCAGAGACGTAGGGTGACAGTGCCCCGACTGGAGGGTTAAAGCCTCAGACCCGGGTGTTAGCGCGGCTCCCGGCTAACAAGACAAAAACGGGACTTTCCCCAGGCTCTTGCAAAAACTCACACAAACACCCATCTTCGCTTTGTGCTATTTTCTCTACGGCTAAAGGTATTCTACCATAAAAGCAACATTAAAATGTCCGTGGCTTGCTGAATCTGGATCTCAGTTTCCACTTGTCTAAAAATTACTTGTTTTGAAGCAGAAGCGCATGAGAGAGGCAAAAAGAGCCGCCAGGGCTGGCTTTCCCGACGAGTACGCAGTGCCGGCGAGGGACTGGTTCCCCGTTCCCCCTAGCCGAGGAAAGCCCCCGTTCCGACCCGCAGCCTCTCCGAGGACGGGACAGCCCGGGGTCGCTTCTCGGCGCCAGAAAAACCATTTCATTTCTCCGGTGCCGCGAGGGTAGTATGGCCCCGGGGCAGCGCCCGGGCAGAGGTTTCCGTCGGGGCTGTCCTGGGACGCTTCCCCGGGGAGCAAGCAGGCGGAGTGGAGAGAAAGGGCTATCTCCAGAAAGCCTCCTTCGTCCCCCGGGGGGCCGGCGGCGACTACAAGTCCCGGCTGACCGGGGAGGAGCCGGCGCGGGGCTGCCGCTCGCCGTCCCTCGCCGCGGGAGCGCAGCGCAGCCCACCGCCCGCAAGTTTTCTCGCCTCCGGAGCTGGGCAGTGGAGTGCACCGAGGGCTGCGGAGGGGAGCCGGCCGGGGAGAGAAGGGGGACTGGAAAAGGAAGCCTTGCAGGGGAGCCGGGCAAGGGGCTGTGGACGGGAGCCTTTCGAGGGAGACAGGGAAGGGAGTGCAGGTGCGGAGGGAAGACGAACACGGGAGCGTACGGTGGCCTCGGAAAGGGGACCCGGTCCGGGCAGCCTTGCAAGGAACCCGGCCTGCGACTGGCAGCGGGGCAGGGCCGCCTCGTAGGGGAGAGTCTCGCTCCTCCCAGGGCAACGCGGACACCCAGCCGGAGGATCGCAGCAGGGACGCCGTGCCGGCGGCTGCGGGGGGTGGTGCGGGGTGCCGCCCCGGGGCCGGGCGGCTCCAGCCCCGTGGGTCCGCGGTGGGCGGGCCAGGGGCCGACTCCCCCCTACAGCCCCGGGGCGGGGGAGCGGCGGCGGCCCCATGGGCGGCGGCGGGGCCGGCTCAGCGCGGGGGCCGCCCGCCGCGGCTGATGCCGCTGCCGGCCGCCCGCGGGGTGGCTGAGGCGGGTGGAGGGGCTGGGGCTGGGGCTGGGGCTGGGGCTGGGGGAGGCGGCGGGCGGCTCCCGGCCATGTGGCGGCCAGGGGTGCGCGGGCTCCTGGGCCGGGCGTGCCTGCTGCTCCTGCCGCCCTGTGCCCTGGTGCTGGTGGCGGTGCCCGGCTCCGCGTCCCACCCGCAGCCCTGCCAGATTCTGCGGCGCATCGGGCACACCGTCAGGGTGGGGGCTACCCACCTGCAGCCCCGCTCCGCCGCTTGGCCCGTGGAGGCGGCGGGCTGGAGGAGGGCGAGAGGCAGCCCCGAAGGGGTGATCGCCGCGGGGCCCCGGAGCAGGTGGCCGGGGGGCGGCGGGGAGCTGCGGCTGCCCCCCTCGCCGCGGGACGCGCTGCTGCTGGCTGTGGCGAACCTCAACAGAGTGGCCGGGCTGCTCCCCTACAACCTGTCCCTGGAGGTGGTGATGGCTATCGAGGCGGGGCTGGGCGACCTGCCCTTCTTCCCCTTCTCTTCCCCCAGTGCCTCCTGGAGCAACGACCCCCTCTCCTTCCTGCAGAGCCTCTGCCACACAGTGGTGGTGCAGGGGGTCTCCGCCATCCTCGCCTTCCCGCAAAGCCGCGGGGAGATGCTGGAGCTGGACTTCATCTCGGCGGCGCTGCGCATTCCCGTGGTCAGCATCGTGCTGAGCGAGTTCCACCGGCGGAGTCCGGTAAGGCGCAGGGGGGTACGCGGGGAGGCGGGCAGGGCTGCCCCCGCACAGGGGCAGGCAGCGCGGTGTTCGCTGCAGGGGCGGCACCCGCACCCTGTTCTCTGCGGGGAAGGGTCCTTGGTCCGACCGGTGTCTGGGCGAGTCGTGGAGGACGTGGGAGCTGGGTAGCGGCCGGGATGCGGAGGGACCCTGCCCGACCCCTGCCCGGGAAGAAGCCCTCTGACTCTGGGGCCTTCGGAATCGCTTTTCTCTCCTTTCCCTCCTCCTGTATCGTCTCCCGTGTTGCCCCTTCCTCTGAGCCCTGCGGTAGAGGGGAGAAGCATCCTCTCTGTGGAAAGGAACAGCTCGGTGGCAAAAGCTAAGTAGCGAGCCTGAAGTCATACGCTGCGTTAAGTTGCAGACTTGAGAAGTGGTGTCCAAGATACGCACTGGTGAGGATCTGCTTTTCTTTTGGTCCTGAGCTTAGCTTTTGGAGAAGGACATGCTTTGCAGACAAAAATGAGGTTGTTATCAAAAAAATCAGAAAAAAAAAAGTAAAGTCTAAACCCAGCATTCAGGGTGTTCACTGAATTTATTACTGGTCTAAATGCTGCGCTCTTATTGTGTGTGGGCAGTGTAGGTTGTTCACCAGGTGACACTTCCTGGGGAAGTTGTTCACTGTAACTTGACTGCATTGAGCTCTCTAAAGCATTAGGATTTTCTTTACTTGTAGCTCAGGCATTGTTGCTAGATCAGATTTTTGCTAAATCTAATTGCCTTACTAAAATAGTAGAAACTTAATTCCGACAGTATCTGTGTGTGTTAGTGTAGCTAAAAGAGTAAAAACTAATGACTGTCTTGGGCACAAATAGTAGTAGTATCCAACGGGAGCTAAACTTTCTGTTACACAGAGATGGCAATTGTCATGGTGTGGACCCAGCCAGTAACTCGGCACCATGCAGCCGTTTGCTCACCCACCTCCAGGTGGGAGGAGAAAGTATGTAAACCGTATGGGTTGAGATGAGAACAGCCCAATAGCTAAAGTATCAGACAAAATTACTACTACTAATGATAATAATAATGATAAGGGAAATAACAGGGAGAGAGAATATAAAACTAAAAGGGAAAAGAAAAAAAAACAGCCATGAACACAAGTGATGCACAATACAGTTGCTCACCACCCGCCGACTGATATCCAGCCCAACCCAAGCAGCGATCTGGGCCTTCTGGGTGACTCACCCCAGTTTATAAACTGGGCATGACATGCTGTGGTATGGAATACCCCTTTGGCTACTTTGGGTCGGGTGTCCTGTCTCTGCTTCCTCCTGGCTTCCTGCCCCTCTTCACTAGCAGAGTATGAGAGACTGAAAAGTCCAGGATAAGCATTACTTAGCAACAGCTAAAATATTGGTGTGTTAATCAGCACTGTTCTCAGACTAAAGCCAAAGCACAGCACTGCACCAGCTACTAAGAGGGAGAAAAATAACAGTTACAGCTGAAACCGAGACAACAACTTAGTGTTACACACTCTGGAAAAGGCGACATTTCAGTATTTTGCAAATGTGTGGTTGATGCCAGTAATCATCTTCAGGTCAAAGAACAATGCTCTAATCTGTGTGACCCATGCAATGGAAATCATGAATGAAATGGCAGAACCTGCCATGTAAACAGCCAGGAGAAGTAGTTGTTTTGTATAAAAAGAGGTAGCTCAAGTTTACCTTCAAAATGTAATCAGAACATAAAGATTACCAGTGATTTTACTTTTCAAAAGTAAATGCAAAACTGCCTGGATCACCACTGGACTTCTGTATTTTTTGAGTTAGATTGTTATAGAAAAGTTAGGAAAAGAAAGTCTGTGCTAGGCAGCTCTTAGTCTGTAACTGAAGATGCATGACTGACTGCTGTATGCTGGTCTGAGCTCTGATAGTTTTCTCTACCTCAGCAAATTTCATGTAACTCAGGTTTCTCTAGATTTGTACGGAAACTCAAGGGTAATCAGTGCCACTGGATGCCACTTTTGATGCAAATTGGGTGTCAGTAGCACCCAAGTTTTCACAGTTACATCTACCAGTTTTGCAGCTACACTTGCAGTTGCAATGGAGTCAGTAGGAAAAGTTCCCTGAAGACCAGATCCTAAGCCCAGCATTGTATTGCAATGCCTGTTAAAAACAGAAATATTTTCTCTTTCATCTTAGAGATGAGTCTATGTTGATGACACAAGATGTGTTAAACACATACAGCGCAGGTTAGAGCCATTGCTCCTTTCCACAAACTTCAAAGCTTCTGCTTAACTTTCAGATTGCTCTCAATGGGGAGACAACTCGATCAATCTATCCAAATCAAGACTTTGTTTTTTAAGCAAACATTTAATTGTCATTGTCTCCAGTGACAGTGAAACCAATGCTGGCATTGAACCTGTGCTGACGAGAGTCCAGGTTGGTCTTTTTTTCAGCTGAGCTAAAAAAAAATAACCCTTCAAGGCTCTATGGATTTGAAAAAAAACTCAGTCTTACTTAAAGACCAGCAGGTAATACAAGTGTATTAGTCTCTCAAGATGGCTTGGAGAGCCTGACATCTTTCTGAACACTGTTTCATACCTTCACTCAATAAATACCATTTTAAGCCTAACTCTGGAGGCAGCACTCCTAACTTCAGCAGTCTTACCTCACATGCTTTCCAGAGTTACAGGATTTTCAACAGCATCTTGGACCTGGGGAACCCCAGAGATACTGACCTCAGAACCCTCTGGTGTGTTACTGCCTGCTGTAGCAAGGATTTTTGTCACCTATAGTCCCATGCAAGCACTGGCATAAAATGAACGTGCCGTGGACTTCGAACCTTCCTGGTTTAATGGCCCTGGAGCTACAGACTGGCAGTTTTAGAGGAAGTGAGTATAAATGACATCTTTATAGGTGAGACAGATTTTCCTGATAAGGCCCAGCATGCAGTTTTCCAGAGAAGAGTCAGAAGAAAACTCAGTCAAGAAGAACTTCTGAGATGTGAAGCATCAGCCTCCCTGGGGACACCCTTCCCACTGATACTTTGCCAGAGCAATTCTCCCAACCCCAAAACTATTGCTGCATGCTTTTGGGAGCTGCCAACAGTTAGCTTTCTTCCAGGCAGACCCAAAACTTTCTTGCCCTTGAAGAGCACTGCCCACTGTCTGCCATATGAGGAGCATGGCAAGCATACTAATGAACTCAACGTTTGCTAGATACCGTCTCGAGTTGCTTTACCTCAGCATTCATAATTTTTGTTAGGATGGTTTTTAATGTAGTAACATCTAACAAGTTCTCATTTTCCACATTATGTGAGGACTAAAACATACACATAGTATGTACTGCTACTGAATATTTCCATCATTACTTCATACAGAACTTTCTTATGAGCATGTTGATTTTTGAGCAAATCTTCCCTAATGTGGCAAAAAGCAATACTTAAAATGAAAAGTAAGATAAGGATCCAGAATTGAAATATGTTTCAATAATGCTGGCTGTTGCCTCTATGTAAGATTGAGAGGAAATCTACATTGGTACAGCTGGGCAACGATAGTCATGTAGATACCTACTGTGTTCGAGTGTCTTTAAAAGTCTGTTTCTCATTAAATTATACTCTCCTGAAGCAAAAAAAAAAACAACCAAAAACACAACAACAACAAAAAAACCACTATAGTCTTCCTCCATGACAATTAACAATCACAAGACAACAGCCATCACAAAGTGTGGTACCACACTTGTTCTGTTACAAGCAACAGCTTTTGAGGGAGACTCATTATTGGAGTGGCAAAATGCACATGTGGCTTGGATGCTACACAGGGTAAAATGCAACATCTTTCATTTTCATATGTATATGGGATTTAATGACTAACATATACTGTCAATAAATCCAGATGCTGTTATGTCCTAAAAAAAGCTGTTTACTTTTTTGAGTTTACTGTCAGCCTTGTAAATCTTCATGCTCTTGGTAAACAAAAGTAACAATTTAACACTAACATTCAGCAAGCAAAAACCCACTGGATTTCTTCACTACTAACACAAATGCAAATTGCACTGAAGCTTTGACAGCTCATTATTTTGGAGACAGCAACTCAAGAGCACTGATGCCATTGAGGCAGGGCTTGTCACATAGGTTTGTTCTTTTATTCCAAGACTGCCAACATCATTAATAATTTTCCCAGGGATTGTACAGGGAAAAGATACATGCAACATGAGCCATAAATACAGTGATATCACTTCTAGTACAACAGTTCAGAGCCGAGAGTGTTAAAAGGATAGCCCATAATATCCATTTTATATATGATACTATCAGAAATACAGGGGAGATCATGTTTGCAGGAGCAATCTCTGCTGAAGTTCAGCAAATCTCTGAACTTCAGAATTTAGGGAGTATTTTCAGTGGGTTTCAGATAAATCAGTACTTTTGATGTCTTTTGACATGAAAAGGAATCTTTTCAAAGCAATGAAACAGAATAAAGTAAATCTGAATAATCGGTGCCCGCATAGCTAGTCTGTGCTTTATCTGGTTTCCTGAGGAGTTGAAATTGCAGCACCGCTGATTACTGCCAAGACTTAAGAGAGGGTTAAAAGAATAAATAAATCAAGTCAGAGTTTTAGGTTAAACAGTGAATTCCCTGGTGAAGTAGCAAGCTGAGCCTCAGAAGAGATGCTGTAAAAAGAAACCGACGATTAATGTTTAATTTTTGGTTTGCTTTTAAAGGGATTATGCTTTCTCTTTAAAACAGCTTTATAGTGTGTGTGTATAGATCTATAGATATATAGATACATATATATTTAGATACGGATATAGATATAGATAGATATAGATATAACTCAAACCACCCTGGGTGGGAAATTATACATCTTTCCCTTCAGAAAATAGCCAGGAATATCATTGTGTGTATGGTGTCCCCAGGAGTAATACTGACCTGCCAGACACCTGCACCAATAAGGGCAGGCAGAAATTACAGCAAGGGAAGGGAGATGTGGAAAAGCTTCTGTCCAGCTAAACGCCCAAAGATGCTT